TTTTTTTTTTTTTTTTTTTTTTTTTTTTTTTTTTTTTTTTTTTTTTGTACACCCACCCAACAGTGAAAAATGTCCATAACAGGAGAAGAGAGCTCGTCCTATTACGGAGAAAATCACGAGTGTGTTCCAAAAGAGTGCTTCTGAGGCAATAACTCAGAAGCATTATTTTCATAGAATAATTTAATCATAGACTATCAAACAAATCAGGAGGATAACTGTATTAACATTTACAACACCACGGCGTAGAAGAGGCAATGAAAGGATTTTGTCTAATATTCTAGTACAGAACTTGTTTTTATAAAACTGACATGTAATTCTCTTAAAATCAATAAGAAAAACAATCAGCTAATTTAGATATATATACCTCCCTCCTTGGCAGTCCAGCAAGTGTTAGTTTCACATTATGTTGAGAAGCCTGCATTGGTGCTGACCGATCAATAGGGTGGTGAAATTTGCAACGTTCCCCAAATTTACAGTCCCCAGTCTTCATATAATACTACAAAAATAAATATTTAGGAACGAAAGAACATATCAACAAAACAATAAACTTACAACTAAAATTAATAACAATAACACCAATAACTGCCATTTCTCCTGGTAACAGATAAAATACGAAGTATAGTAATGAAAAAAATAATAATAATAATTACCTGAGTGCCATTTTTTTTGCACTTTTTTTATGACATTGAGTGCCTTTTAATAATACGTAACGTTGAATCAACAAATTTGAGTTAACAAGTGAAACAAGAATCTATATATATGAAGTATAAATAAGTCAAACAAGAAAACTAAAATATAAAAAATGTAATATTTTTCCTGAAAAAGACGATGATTTTTCATTCAATTGAAAAATTACATTGAGAAGTATCAAATTTAAAAAAGCAACGAATACAATGGAAAGAACAAACATGCGAAGGAAATGCACCCAATCCAGATAGTAAAATATAAAATAATCATAAGACCCCAAGCAATGACGTCAAGTAAGAAAATTTTCAGCACCAAATATTGTAGTCATATTGTTAACGCTAATATGGTGCAATTTTTTTTCCGTTTTTAACGCTAATATGGATTTTCAAATTACAAAAATAAAAGAAAATGATTTCTCTTTCCATTCTTTCTCCATTGCTTCATCTTCTCTTCTAATCACAGCCTACCGTCCAGTCCACTCCTCGTTCTGAACATAAACACAGTGGTCGTCCCTGCAGATTCTCATTGAACAACCCACTCATAAACATCCCGCATTATTTCACCAACTCATCTAAAAAACCGTTTGGTTCCGTAAAAAATTATATCTCAAATCTCTTCCGTTCAATCATCTGTTTCTTGTTGATTGATGCAGAAATTGTGTTCTTGAATAGGCTTCCGCCTTCTTTTTCGAGTTCCATATTCGAGAGAGAAGCTTTTGTCCTAGAATGTACTCCTAACATTGTAGTACTTCATTCTTGGACAACTCTTGAAAATTCTCTCTAAAAGGTTCCCCCTTGTAATTAGGTGTGCTCCCTCTTGAGAGTGACATTGTCAAGAGTTTCTTGATTTTCCATTGGTGACAATCAACTTTGGCCTGAGCAGTGGCTCAGATACCAAATTGGTGTAGCCTAAGAGTGACCAAGGAGAGTTTCCTCCAAAAAGTCTCAACCCCAATCTTTAGTGTGAGTCAAATTGGTCTAAAATAAATGGAAGAGACCTCTATTTATTAGAGAGCGAACTACAATCCAAAATTACAAAGGATAGTAAACACCTCGAGATTCATACTAACATAACATCATGATTCCCTAAAGAACCTATCAGGAGAGGGGGACAGCCATCAACATACTATCATCATATCATAACTCCAAAATCCTATTGGGGAAGGGGAGGGATGCGAAGAGATACTCACGTCACATTCTATCTGCCCAGGTCTTCGAGGGTAAATACTTGAGCTGGATCCCAACTGCAACATAAGAAAAATAGTTTGAGTTAGTTATTCACTACAAGAGGATTCATACACTTCAATAGTTCAAACAGGATGTTATAGTAACTTAGTATTAAAAAATTGCATACTTACGTTCTTAAACAAGGGACAAATATTTTCTCTATTACAAAGACTAAAATCAAACCATTACTCTGAAATCAAGGGCTTGACCACATAAATGCATGTTTAATCAACAAACAATAAACAAATGAACTTGCAGTGAAAAAAATGCTAGCATAAGACCCTAATGGAACATCAACTTTCTTTCTAATTGAAAAACTAGATTTTTCATTGAGAAAAATGAATGAACACAACCGGACCAACCAAAAAGCCAACAAAAGACATGTCTCCAAAAACAACAGCCCCAAAAAGGATCCAAGCAGAAACTAGCCTATCAAAACAAGAACACGAATCTAGAAAATTAAGGCCAAATGACATCAGACAACACAACCATCAAATTGGGAATTTTTAGAAGTACAAAACAAGGGGCCGCTGGAGTAGAAAGTTGATAACTATGCCAAAGGCCATAAAATCAACACTGCCCATCAAGACTAAGACGGACTTACCAGTGGCTGAATTAATCTGGGATCAACAGCTTGATAAATAGCATTAGAAGGATTAGAAATTCCAATATTCATATTAGCAGCTGAGACCATTGCTGGAGTAGATGGATTGATTGCTGCCAAAAATTCCAAGCATATTTTAAATGATCATTACATACCTTACAAAGTTTCAAAACTGCAAATGAGAACATTACACGCATACCATTTCTGTCAGGGTGATTGTAGCGGCAAGTGGTACCATACTTGCAACTGATACGTAACAACCAATAAACATAAGACTCATCATTATTTTCTTAAGCAGAACTATCATAAATAATTTGTAAGTGCTCATATACCTGCCCGTTTTCAAGTAGAATGGACAATCCACTTCACCCTGTTACAAGAAAGTTGTTTGGTAAAATTTAGATCTTGTCTAAGGCAAAACAATTTATTAAGACTGGAATTTTCCACTAAGACTTGAACCATAATTTCCAGAAAGAGAAGTAACTGGCAACACAAAAGAAATAGAGTATTAAAAACACTGACATCCTCTGGGATACAAGAAAATAAATATTTAAACTTCTACAATTGTAATCCAATTTATTACCGGTCTAATTGGAAGTCCTTTAGAATTGTGTATTAATGCCGGAGAAAATGAAACAGGAGGCTTAACAAGCTTGAAGTCTCCAATTCTTCCTTCTGTATTAGCTTCCATCAAAGTTTGTTCGCTATTTCCATTAACTTCCCCAGATAAAATTTGGATATCTTTTGGGTGATGGAACTTGCAGTTAACACGAAATTTGCAATTTCCGGTCTTAACATAGAACTGCAGGGGAAGAAATCAAACAATATGTCTATACCCGACTTGTACGCCTAAAATATTAGTAAAGAACATGTGTGTGCATGTGTGTGTACGTGTATATTACTGCACACAGTGGCTCAGATGGTCTCTCAGGTAAGGACGAAACATCAGATTTTTCAGCACCCTGAAAATAGTAAAAACATAATACATATCAACAAAGGAAAAAAAAAAAAAAAGGTACCCAAAACAAGAATAAAGCTTGAAGACATCAGGTTCATACAACTTACCACAGATTCAGACGTATCTTTAGGGTGATTGAACTTGCACCTTGAACCAAATTTACATCGTTGAGTTTTCAAAAAGTACTGCAGGAATCAAAAAGGTCGTGAAGTAATGCAAGAAATATAAGTGCATATTACTTCAAAAAAAATAATAAATAAATAAAAAGATGTGAAGGAAAAAATATTTAAAATAGAACTCACTGGACAATCTGGCTCCCCAAGTCTTTCTGGGAGATCTTCACTACTAGTTATTTGTGGGACCTAAATAAATTATAGATGAGATAAACAGCCATTGGATAAAGCAATATAAAATGGTATTAGAAGCACAAGCTACCTTAAGACTACAAGCGCAAAAGAATTTGGAAAACAGATACTTAGAAACGTTAACCATATCTATTATTAGGAACAATTATGCAACTGATTTCATTCTTGGCAAAGGACCTAACTTGGCACCAAAATGGTGGCCCATGCAGAAACCTAACTAGGTGTTCAAGCCATCCAAAAATTCTTCAATTCCTCTAAAGCTAGATATTCCACAAAATAGAAAAGAAAGCTGCATATCAAAAAGACCCCCCACGCCCCAAAAACAGTGTGAAACAGCACCTCCATCATCGAAGGATAAGATCTATTGTGCACCTCTATCCCATATCAAGTGCGCAAAATGGCAACCCCATGAAGCATGATCCAAATACCCTAAGCACATTTACATATGACATACCAATGAAGCCCTAACTAGATAAACGTAGAGGATTTGGAGATCCTAACCTTTTGCAATTAAGAGAAAGAACGAGGGACATGAGGGTGTGAAATGGATAACAGATTGGAGTTTCATGAAAACGCCCTATAAGTATTGGGAGTCCACATATACGTCTTTGAAACTCATTCAGCAAAACATAGAAAAATAAAAGTTGGAAATACGTAATTGGGCAGAGCGCAAAGACGCTAAAGATGTACGACACATTGTCCCAGCTACAAGACGATAGAAATCACTGAAGCAAACTTTAATAAAGGTTATGGGATCCCGCAATCCAGCCTAAAACCAGTAACTGAGTCATCCCCGATAACAAAGATTCAAAACTTAGAAAAGAAGAATAACATAGATAAAATAGCCTTCCAATGGTTCCTAACAGTTCCTTCAGTTCAGTTTCCGTTAGCAAGCTCTCAAAGAATTTTGGAGTCTTGTTTCTTCATGCTTCTCAGTTTTCTTTGTTTAATTGAAGGATTTTAGGCTTCTTTTTGTTGGTTGTTCGGATATCTTGAAAAGCTAAGAAACACGATGTGGATGCAAGACACAGATACGACACGACACGAAAATGGTGACATGTCAATTTTTAAAATTCTAGAACATAAATATGACAAGGGTACACATGTTAAAATGTACATTTTTTAATATACATCACTTTTATACCAGAAGAAAATTCAAAGACAATAAGTTTATGAATTTATATGCTTAAATAAATAAGTTAGCAATTCATTTCAAAATTTATTTAAAGTCAAGTGTTCAATATTTTTCTAACAAATGATAGAATAACATTGATTTTGTACAACTACTATCTAACACATCCATTGTGCTAATAAGTGTTCAATACGTGTTCAACAAGCATTAAGGGTGTCAGTGTCCAATACATACTCAACATTGGTGTGTTGAAATGTCCAATACGTGTCAAATTTTGGAGTATCATCCATGGTGTTTATAAAAAAACCTTCCTAATTTACAATGAGGGAGGTATAACTCTAGGAAGTCTAATATAAATATTAGACAGTTTAACAATTATAGCCTTTCTTCTTAAATTTCTATTGTTTAACAATTATAGTCTTTCTTCTTAAATTTCTATTAAGAGGTCCTTCATGTAATTTATCTTTTGGTGTTTGAGAGTCTATTAACTCCTCCATTCATCAATGAAATTGTTTCCTTTCAATTTATATATATATATATATATATATATATATATATATATATATCAAAAGGAAAGAACATAAAATGAATGGATAAACCACACATTATATCGATAATGTTGAATCCCTTAGATAATAGAAAAGGAGAATTGAAGGGAAAAAATAAATAAAGCATGAATAACTTGAACTTTCAATTTTTTTTTTTTTTTTTTTTTTTACAATATTCCTAATTTACAATAATTCTCAACATAGAACTTAATGAAAAATCTATATTTTCTGAGTAGTAAGTCCAAATCTCAAAATAATTCAAACTCAAGCTAATCACACCTGACTACCTAATAAAATCCCCTAAACTGTATTCCTAGTCATAAAGAAGTACATGGATTATGGCTTCCAATAATTATCCAAATACAACTCAAGAACTACAAATTCAAGAATTAATTGAAATATTCAATTTACTGAATTGCCCCCACATCAATTCAATGAATAGAAAGCTAGCACTGCATCATAATTTACATGAATATATTTTTCCAAATCATAAGTTCAGCTAGCAAAAAGGAAAGATCAACCGCTTAAAAAAATGATATTTCTACACAGCATAGAGAAAAGGTGGCATCGAATACAGCACAAAATCAAGATATCATTCAAATTACTAACACCAAACCCCAGATCACTCACTCTTAATTTTAAGCATATGTGATAAACCCTTTAATGTATATGCCTATAAAGTATTTGTTTCTTTGTCGATCATAATTCATCTTTATAGGTATGAAAGATAGCAGAAAACAGTCACCTCTTTCCAATCTGGGATTCCACCATCAGGAACCCAAATAGGATGGTCAAACTTGCAGCTATCTCCAAATTTACAGGTTCTTGTGAGCATATAGTGGGCACAGTCCTTCTCTCCTGGCCTCTGTGGATATACATGCAAATTGCTTGTACTTTCAAATCTAGGACGCTTGGCTAAAGAATTTGAAGTATACCAGGCTTCACTTTGCCCCAAAGTGTTATAGGAACCCAAAACAGTCTGATCGTAGAGCACTATTGTACATAATAGACAAATATGTACAAGAAAGACAAACATGTACGTTACTATATAAATATTTCTAGCACTACTATCTCGGCTGTATAGATTTAGAAATTAAATATAGTAGATTATGTAAAATATAACATTTTCAAAATATATACAGGAAAGTAAACAGTCTGCATGAAGTTACATAGATCTTATCAATTTAAGGCTGCTTCATACTGTTATGGTGCAACTTAGTTGTACAGCAGCAGGATGAAAACAAACCATTACGTCGAACCCCATACATAAAATTATGCATACGACATAGGGGGCGTGCATGAATCACTTGAGACTTATAACACCATAGTTCCAGTCTCCAGAGAAGAAAATGGCTTCTATATAAAATACTTTGCAACGAAAACCATATGGAAATCCAACTAGCCATGACAGAGAGAAAGTAAGAGAATAAGTACTACTATCTTCTCCGATTTGGTACTGAACTATTGTTTGGGTTGATGTTCGTCCAATATACCGAAGATATGGAAGAAAATAAAATGACTCGAACATCATGGAAATTTAGGCCACAAATCATATGTAAAGTTCCCATCAAGAAAAGAAAAACAAGAAAAATACTATTAACAAAATACATAAACACCCATATATAATAAAGAAAAAGACAGCGAACAGCACGAATGGAAGCACTGAAGCCAAACCAAAGCCCCATGATCACGAATGCCATTTGGTGGTCATGCGAAAGCAGGAAAAAGAATCAAAACATGAAAGTATCCCATCGGTGATGTTTTCTGAAAGCAGAAGTGAACAAATTCATTCGGCCTCGTTTTCGTGAAACTTTAAGTTAATGTCCAAGTACTCAAGTAATTATTTTACGTCATTTTCTAAAGTGATTTTCCAAGAGATTCAAGTAGACAGCGAATAAAACTTACCGTCAGAAGAACGTTGGATGCCAGAAACAACAGAGTCCAGAGCAGTAGCAGCATCAGAACCCGGCCAAGAAAATTGAGAGACCGAATGCGACGTTCTTGGGACAATGTCGGCGGCGGATAACCTAAGGGCTTCATTCTGGGTCGAATACATGGTGGTACCACGATCAATAAAAGAGTGCTTAATGGAGAGACCGGAGGCCAGCGAGTCTGACACGAGGTAACGGCCGGAGACGATGTCGGAGAGGGAGCGGGAAGACGAGTATACGGCGGGAAGAGGTGTAGTGGCAGTGGCAGTGGCAGTGGCAGTGGCAGTTGAAGTGGCAGGTCCCGCACCGTAGACAGAGCTGTAACCGTGCAATTGATTAGCCATTTCTTTTATCCAAGACGCTGAAGAAATTGAAAGAAGCACCGGAGTAGACCAGAGTGGCAAACCCTAAAGAATACGTATTGTGAAGATTGGTCCGGCCGGAGACGCAGGCCGAGCTCCAACTTTGACCGCCAAATGGGTTTTCTTTTATCCGTTTTTTATTTTCACCGCTTATAATAAGGATTTGTTTTGTCCGACCTTTTGGGGTTTTGACCGCGAAATCACGGGAAATATTCCGATATCAAGGATAAAGAACATGTTCGGGTTTCATATAAAATCAATTATGCCAAATTACTCGTTGCTCAATTTTGACAACATGTCCCGGTATAGGTGAAGAGGTAGATGGGGAACAATGAAACAAGGGAGGGGAAAGAGTAAAAATGAAGAACATTGAAGTAAGATGCGTAAAAATCCGACGTTTATCATTTACGACATTATCTATACAAATTGGCATAGTAGTTGATATGTCAAAGTTCATCTTATGAACGGTTTTGAAAACTATGAATTTTAATAAATAGTGATTTTCTATGAATGGTAAGCAATCTTACATGAGCATGTCAAATTATAAATAATAACTACCATGATTTAGGAAGAGTTCGTTAAAATTTTTTTTGAAATAAATTTATAGTTTGAGGGTAAAAATAAAACTCTAGGACATAATTGAAATCTACAAACTTCAAGAGTATGGTGTTAATTGTCTAACTATAACTATATGGTCTTTTGTAGGTTAAGTTTTAATGGTACTTAATTTCCTCAAAATTAGTCCGTTTGGGATAAATTTTGGCCATCAACTAGAAATTATCCCACATCTTTAATTTATGTTCCAATGAACACTTCCTAAGGTCAATGCAAAGTTGGTTTTGTGTCAAAAGAATGATTCATAAGTGATATGGGTGTTCTTTGTGTGACTTTGCTATAAATAAGAAAACCATCAAATTATAACACAATAAAATTGTTAACCAAAGATTGAAAAATATGATTTATGAGCATTAGATAGCACAAAAGTCATCTCCAACCAAGTTCAAATTTCTCTAGAAAGCATTCTTCCATTCGTTCCCAGCTTATTATTATTTAACGATAACTACTTTACAAAGCGAAATTTGGGAAATTATTACACCTCCCTCTAGGATATGCTCATATTGGCAACAATTAGTTTGATAGGTCAAATTGGTATTAACATATTTTATAAGACATTAAGCATTGACAGGAAAATTAAAATTTAATTTGAAGTTGAAATGATAAATTTCATGTGGTAGATGAATCAAATAACTTTATCAATTGTAATTTACTCAGCTCTCTGCATAATCGTAACTAAATTAACATGTTCGAAAATTAATTATTTTCATGCACAAGAAACACTAATCTAAAAGCAAAGTAAAAAAATACAACATCTAAGTTGAAACAAAATTTGATTAGCTGCAACACAGATAACATTCTAAAATTGCAAGTTAAAACCTCTTGCTTCAAGTACAATGCTTTAAGATATAGCAATTATATAAACGGTTCGTTTCATAAGCAGGTGATATAAACACAATTAAATGATATTGGTCAAGAAAAGAGAAAAAACGGGCTTAGACAGAGATTGAAACCTTGGCTCGCTCCTATACAATCATCTAGCATTGCAGTCTTAACTCCTACCTGATTCCCCAGGTGGTCCCCGTCCAGATCGTTGACCACGGCCACCTCGCTCTATCCGACCACCCCGGCCACGCAATCCTCTCACAGGGCGTCTATCCAATGAAGAAACAACTCCAGCCTGTCTCAGCATAGCTCTTTCCTTGGCTCGCTCTTGCAAATTTATTGTAGTAGACGTGCTACTACCGACAGGAGATGACCGTTTAGCAACAATAGGGCTACCTTGTTTCGAATCATTTATTTCTGGCGGTGTACTCGAAACGTTCTCAGTAGCTACTGAGGTGGTTTCAACAGCCTGATCACTCTCCATATCAATCTGGTTACTATCAGTTGGCTTATCTAAAATTTCGGAAGTTTCATCAGCTGCATCACCCTCATCATTCTTTTCTTCATTTTGAATCTCAGGGGAGTTTATCTCGCCAATCTCCATGTCTGTGACAGCCATCGCATCATCATCAACTCTAGATGGGGAGGCCTCAGGAGTTGCAACTGGCTCAATATGATCGTCTCCTATTTCAATGCTTTCAACATTATTGGCACCCTCCAGTTCCATAACTTCAGGGGCCACCTCACCTTCCTCTCTCTCGCTTCCAATCTCTGAAGTTAGATGCCAGTTGTCTGGTTCAGCTTGATCTTTTAACCCATCATCTGACACGGCTACAATCTGCTTATCCAGATTTTCATCCATCCTGTCAGTGTGTATCTCCTCATGGCTGATAGATCCATCAGATGATAATTCTTTTGGCCTATCAGCCTTCTCCCCTGCAATTTCAACCTCTTTTTCAACATCAGCTGCATCCTCACTTGAACCATGAGGAAACTCACAAACATCAGGAACTTCTTCCAAGGGCGACTGAGTTTTGAGACTTTCCAGAGAGGTAGAAGATGGTCCACCAACGTCATCAGCCAAGGTATCTGACCCTTTAGCCTTCTTCATGACAGGAGCTGCCATTTCAGTAATGCTCTCCCCAGGGATAACTGCATGTTCATGCAATTCAGAAGCTGTCGCTACACGCTTGCGAGCCAGCTGATGGGCTGATGTAGTAGATTCACTTTCAGTTTCTGATTTTCCAGAAGTTGCACGCTTGCTTTCACTGTTTGGTAATTCTGATGTTGACATGTCTATATCACCCAGAGACCCTCCTGGTTTTCCAAGACGAGGTCGAACCAACTTTCGCCCTGCTTTACGCGTTTCTACTTTTGCCTTGGATAATTGACCTTTCTTTTCCCGTTCTTCTAGGATTTTGGCAGGAAAGTTGGTTGTTACAGGAGCCACAGGCACTGCAACATCAGGCGTTTGGAGAGGAACATCAGGACCTGCAAAATTTAGAGCTTTCATATCACGTAAATGGGGAAGAAGCAAAACTAGTAATTGTAACTGTTACAGCGTAAAAATTAGATGTTACGCTAATGCACCTGTACTACTTTGTACCAAAGCATCTGTGACCAAAGAAACCTCTGAAGTAGCATTCTGAGCTCCAAGATCAGTCAAAACTGACTGCACAGTCTTCTCAAAATTCTCAGCAGCTAAAACGTAGGTAGAAGCAAGATCGTCCAAGCCAATCCCTGAAAGTGGCTGAGGTAAAGCATCCTGCTATGACAAACAATCACACATGTAAACAATCAACAAAAAGATTTAAATAGTTGGTACGATAAAAGAGAGAAAAAATGAATGAAAACTTTTGTCAAATTCATAATAATTCTAAAGCCCAAAGTGCCATGCAAGATTTTCTCTTTTTGCTAATTGTTTCAAAAGAAACCAGAGAAGAATCTCATTGAAAGCTTTGGTAGAAATTTACCAATCTATCTACTCACATTGATCTCGAGGCATATCAGCTTAATTCAACACATCTCAACAAAACAATATAAAAATTCCAACAACGTTATATGGGTTTAAAGACAGCAGGAAGGGATCAAAGCATGATATACCAAAATTTAGAATAAGCAAGTCATTACCTCCGAAAGATTGCTTTTAGATTGTCTAAGCTTCTCAAGTTCATCAGAAGCTTGCTTCAAGTTTCCCTTATGCTTCTCCAAATCATTTAAGATCTTTGATTTTTCCTATATAAAAAGAAGGTAAAGACAGACCTATTAGGATGCACGGGAAACAGGAAAAATAACAAAGCAAGTTTGATTTAACTTCCAAGATATCCGTTGACAAGATTATTTGCAGAATCTTTCCAACTCAAAGAGTTATATTAAAGGAAGAAGCATAACCATTCTCTCGTTTCTGTTTCTTTATAAAGACAATTGTGTTGTGGAAGACAGACAAGTTAAATCCCAAAGTCCTAAATCTTGGAAAAATTTAAAAAACATACCCATTTTATAGTTCGAATAATCTTAAACTAAACATCCTGACTAACCATGAAAATATTAGCAATCATAGAAATCCATCATAAACTTAATTATTAGGCAGGTGGCTTCAAAGTTCAAAACGAGTCAGGTTCAAATTTTCCATTTCTTACTAAAGTAGGCCAAGAGTGTATTATGGCACTTGCCAATTCAGAACTTTGCCAAAACTCTGACCCCGAAGGACACTATCTGACATCAAGCTAGAATTGATTCACGAGAAAAAATAAATAAAAAGATTCACAGATACTCCATCATAAGATCCACAATCCATATCACAAATATATGCCAGATGGCACGATGTTCTATTGAAGATGGCCTGTTATTAAAACTCGCGAAGCTAAATTACCTTTTGTCAAAAAGAATTTGATGATTCAAATTGGGCTAAACTAATAAAAATACCCCAAAAGTTTGAACTTTTTCTTAAAAATACCCCTAAACTTTCAAAAGTTTCAATAATACCCTTAAACTTTCAAAAAATTGCAAGAAATACCCTTACCGTTAGTTTTCGATGGAAATCGTTAGTAGTTTGTTTAAAAAATATGCTTAAGTTTTTAATAAATACCCTTGAACTTTAAAAAGTCTCATTAATACCTTTACCTTTTTTAAAAAAGTTAAAAAATATCATCCTTTTAACTTTTAGTACTATGTTTAAAAAATACACATCAAATTTTAAAAATAGAATTGACGCCACTTACCTTTACAAAAAAAAAAAAAGTTCAAAAAAATTCTTAGCGTCAATGTATGGATGATATCGACACCTCATAGATTATCTCCAAACTTTTTAATCTACTTTTGAAAGTTCATGAGTATTTTTAAACGTGATATTAACGGTAAATGTATTTTTGAATTTTTTAAAGGTTTAAGGGCATCAATGAAACTTTTGAAAACTCAAGGATATTTTGTAAACACTTTGAAAATTAATCAGTATTTTTGAAACCCTTTTAAAAGTTCAAACAATATTTTTGAAACAAAGTATTAGCTGTTTCCATTTTTGAACATCAGTTAAAGTTATAATACCCATTTTTGAACATCAGTTAAAGTTTAAAGGTATTATTGAAATTCCAGAGATGAAACAAATGCAAAAAGGGGGATTATGAAACCTGCTCAACGATAGTATAAGAATCCTTTATTGCCTTCTCAATTTTCAACCGTCTGCTTTTCTCTGTACGACTATCTTCCTTCTCTCTTTTTAGTTCTTCT